AAAAAAAAAAAAAAAAACTTATGCTAGAATATATGCAAATACACAAAGAACATAAAAAACTCTAAATCCTAAAAAAGAAAAAAAATATTACTAAGTTAAAGTTAAAAAAAAAATTACTCATGATGAACCGTCGAATGGATCGAAGAAGAAATGATAGCCAGAAAAAGGACGTCGGAGTCGCAAAATGGCAAGAATGCTGAGAAGTCTAGAGTGCAGAAGTAATGAGGAGCGAAAGCGTTGAAATGAAAGCAAATGAAGTATTTATACTCGATCTAACATATTTGGACCCTTAAATCACCGATAAATTAAATTGCCTAGATCATGCACGAACATCAAGGACACGATATACGAGGCTACATAAATTTGCATCTATGCAAATGTTAGGTCTTCCAGAGGAATTTGACCGCCAATTTTACTGCTAAGCTCGGAGTTGCTTGAAAAGGGAGGGGGGGAGGGGGAGGGAACTAGATGATATAACCATATACGTAGACCGGAGTAATCCAAGTTCCTCGAGCTCGACCGACTTAAAAAAAAGAGCTTTTTGGAGAGGATCGCCAAGCTCAAATGATTGGACGGCCGCACTCTTGGACAACTATAGGATTGACGGCCTACAGGAGCGATGACTTTAGGCCACGAAAACTACCTTAACAACCTCAAGGTTAAATATAACTCGACCTCGACTATGCGGGGACGACTTGAGAAAAATACGGCCTAGACAGTAGAAAGCAAGGATAGGAAAGAATCTTAAGAGGATAAGATGAAATCTAAAGATGACTGGGAGATGATTAGGATATAGATAAGCACTAGTCTGAGCAGCAGAGCAGGCTGCCCGCAGAGCATTTCAGGCAGGTATTTTCCTATGAAAGAGACTGAGGTATCATCAAACCTAATCTTACATTCTACATACCTTACATTGCCCTGAGATTACAGAGCACCATCTTCTTCATGTCACTAACTTAGGTGTTGAGTTCCTAAAGGTACACGCATCGCGGTTCAGGCAGATCATAACTCTTCTCAACCAGTTCTACTTAGATCCAAATAGAGACCCATCGCATACCATATAAAATATAGTAAGAAAATATATAAACTAATAAAGAGAATATGTAAGAAATTTCCTGATAACTCTAGCTCTTCTAATAAAATATTCTTGCTTGTATTATTCTACAATATCATTCTCTTTCTTATAAGCTATACTTCCTAATACATACTGTGATATAATAAAATGAAAAATTATGATATGAATTTTCCTTTTCCCTTTATGCATTAGTTCCATGTTACCAATTTCAAACAACACAAATATTATACATAAATATTATTTCTGATTAATACTAAATTCAATTTTCTTATATATAGTTATATTTATATAGAGAGTTTGTTGGGATAAAAAATAGGATTAATTGCAATATAAATCTTTCCTTTTAGCGTTTTGCAATTTAATCCAAACATTTGCATAATTGCAATATAATCTCTACATTGTCTTACTTTTGCAAAAGGAACCTAAAATTCGTCGGACGTTAAAAAAATGCCAGCGTATCCGGCCAATTTTATCCACGTCATGTAACACCCCGCCTAGACTTACTAAAATCAGAGTAAATTTTTCGCGCTGAAAAAGGCAAGCTCTTATTTAATTTTCGAAAACTCATATATTTTTTTTTTTCGAAAATACTTTAACTTTAATATACGGGATGCTACTCAACTTTAATCTTAAATCTTTAATCTTTAATATCTTTAAACTACTAGGTATGCAACCGAGTATGATTCATTACTCTAAACATCTCAGGAGTTAAGCATGAATAGACTGAAATTCTAGATACTGAAATACTGTAGTACTGAAATACTAAGTGCGGAAGCAAATGCAAGCATGCATGAACAATGCATCATAACTCCAACATTTTCAAATATACATGATATATTTACTGAAAATATCCTCGCTATGACCACCACCACATCATCGGCTCACGCTCTACGCTCGACACCGTCACCTGAAAAATGGTTAGGGGGCGTGAGCATAAATAATCCACGTGCTCCATCGGAACCGACACTGAAATACACAGCTAATATAATAACATATCATGATGTCGACATATATGCAAGTACTTAATGGGTCGGCAGAAAACGATATGATGATGAACATTTTACTAACAAATTAGGCATTCATCCAATAAACACTTAAATCGACAACTATCTACAGCTGCTACTTAGCTGACTGCCTATAACCGTTGCTCAGCTGACTGTCTATAATTTCTGCTCGACTGGATAACTATAACTGGTGCTCAACTGACTGCTATAATGGGTGCTCGACTGGCCGACTATAATCGCTGCTGAACTGACTAACTATAACGCTTGCTCAACTGACTAACTATAATGACTGCTCAACTGACTAACTATAACTGCAACATCGCGAACTAAACATACATCTGATATGATAAGCACATCACAACCTAAGCATACATCTAATATGATAGAACACATCACAAACTAAGCATACATCTAATAAGATAGAACACATCACAAATGTGTATAAATAAGTATATTATCCATAACTGCTGCTTAACTACTAATTCTAATAGCTACTCAACTGACTGCTTAACAGGCG